ATGCCAGCTTCTTGGGAATCATTTTCTACTTGGGTAAGTAAAGTATCATCCTGGACACTGAACTTATATTATTCAAAGTACTTGGAGAGAATGCCAGCTTCGTTGGGAACATTCTCTACTCGGGTAAGTAAAGTATCATCAGGTAAATAACTTATCCTTGTGGTCACTAAACTTACATTCTGTTGTATCCATTATGAGTAAAATGGAATAAAATATGGAGAATTGGGAAGTGTTTCTCAATGGAATGTAAGAGTAATTATTAAGTATACAAAGGAAAATGTTAATGCCTTATCATACATGTTTTGTCAGAAAATCATTTTCTAAATTGAGAAAATTTCCAAACTTTTTTTGAAAAATATGAATGCAGCTTTAAATACAAATTTGCTGAATTATGAGGTGTTACTGAAGGTGACTGTTGTAAGAACAACAGTGTTGATAATGTAGAGAAATCTGTCGAATGTTGGGTGTTCCTGCCGTAATATAAGGATCGGTTTTCACATTGTTACTATAGGCCACAGAGGTAGGCATCTTTGATGTTCAAACATTTGGTTTTGAACTAATTCTTTTTATTTGAAGTAATTTACAAATTGTTTTTTTTTAATTACTTTGTTTTTAATCTGACAGTCAGAAAAGTGGAATATTTTGATGTGGATGACCATGTGAGATTGGTTTTAAATCATGCCATTTGCTAGTTTCGAGAATCCTAGGTTTTGTAAGATATTCCTTAAATACATTTGAAAACAGTTGCTTATGAAGCGCAAACAAGCCTTGTAGTTTGATAGTTCATGAAATATTGATTTAAATACTGAACTTCACGCTTTTTTTTAATTATTATATTTATATTTACTTTTTTGTTTCAAGACTCGTATTATGGGCAAAAATATGCATTAAATAACATGTAGAATTTTTTTTTTTCTATTTAGGGTCCCACCTCGAGTCCATACGAATGGTGATAAACAAGAAAGCTGATGCTGCTGCTGTTGATGCAAACTGCTTGGCTCTCTTTTTGGATAGGAACCCTTGTGTGCGTGATGACTTAAAGGTATTAAGTTCATGGGGAATGTTAACACCCTACCCTTTGGTGGTTAACAGACGTCTTCCTGGTAAGTGGTAGAGATTATGGTGCTAGATCTTGCTTTTATATATATATCAACTTTTTCGAGTCCAATAGCACTATTAAAACTACTTTTACATTTATATTTGTAAAGGCAAGTAACTTGTAAATGAAACTATATCTGAGGCACACACTTACAACTATTGAATGTTTTTAATCTGTGATAGATTTTGTTGTTGTTAAATTTACAGTTTACAGTGAAATCAAATCTACTATGAGACATAATTGTACACCATTGACTTGAAAGCCAGGTTTCACCACTCTTGCGTGGTGGTTAGGGTGCTCAACTCTCAATCTGCTAATTGTGGGATCAAAGCTTGTCACCAAACATGTTCACTGTTTCAGCCACGGGAGCATTACAACTTGTATGTAAGCTAGTAATCTGATGCTTCTGACATTTCCAAAATAGATGCAATCTTTACAGAAGATCTGCTGGTTGTCCTTTACGGTTCTTGATAACTACTGGTATTATATTACAATTACACCATGACCTTGGAAAAGTACTAGCGTTGCAAAAATAAAATCTCTGAATATTGTATTACAATTATTCCATGATCTTCAGTAGTTACTGGCTTTGCAAGAATCTCTATAGATATTTTATTACAGTTACACCCTGATCTTGGGCAAAAGTTAGGGAAACGTTTCTCCATATATATATATAAAACAATACTCTTATCTCCTCCAGTTTTTTTTCATTGAATTCTTCATGCAATAGTGCATATTTCATAAAATTTGCAAAAAAGTTGAGGATATACCCATTGTGTGCTTCCCGGAGATAGAAAAGCATACGTGGTATGGCTTACTCGGAGATTTGTTGTTAATAAAATATATGTCAAATAAAATTTCTGTAACTGTAGTTTTATTTTGAAGGTGACTTTAGGAGAGAGAGAGATAGGACAAAATTTTTTAACACTTAATGTTTTGCCCCTTGTTAAAAAAATAAAATAAAATTTATACCAGGCAAAAATGATTAATTTCACAAGGAATTTACATCTTGCTTGTAAACTATATTGATAATTATTGTTTTCATAATTTAGGCATTTTGAAAGAGAATATTGTATATTATTAACTATATTTATTGGATAATAACACAGGCATGTGAACTTAAACTTCATAAAAGTCGTTTTTGTTTTAATAATGGGTTTTCTATAATTCAACTGTGCAGGTTTCGAAAATATTATTCATTTTTGGGAAGAAAAAAACACTTACTTTGATCGTTATTTCGTTTACCACAATGATCCTTTTTTATTATTATGTTTGTTAAC